TATATATATATCAAATTCTTTATTGAATACCTTTTATATAGAAATTATACTAGGACATAATAATAATTACATCCAAAATTTAATGAACATGCATTGTGAGTTAAAACTTTTCACATTCAACTAATAAAAATAAAAATTCAGAATTTAAATGATTTTTAAGAAAAATAATGCAAATATTAATAAGCTTATCATGTATAATGACTTATGATTGGATATATAAATTTGTTTTATACAGTGTATCATTATTAAACTCCTACATAAAAATATTAACAATATTTTGTTTAATTAGTGAAAATTTTTAAAATTGATAAATTTTATGAATCATTCATTTTGATTAAATAAATGTCGTGATTCGTAATTTATTAAAAAAAAAAGTTTGAGTAAATTTATTAGAAAGATTGGGTTTCTGAAAACATGGAGATAGACATAGGTGATGTAACAGCCTAACAGGTAATTAGCGATTGAAGGCAAAAACGTCCTTGCAGTTGCAGCTGTCTGGTATGTGAGACTGAGAGGCAGAGCGCCAACCGTTGCAGATAAGCACATCCCCCACCAACACTACACGTGTCAGCCACCTACTTTTCCAATTTTCATATCACAAAACCAAGTTAATTCACACCACACCACATTTTACACACTTGTGAACCCATACGATTCAATTGAAGGCGAAGAAGAACATGGCTGCAACTTCTTCCTTGTGCTCATCCACCCTCCAATCCCAAATTAATGGATTCTACCTTCGCAAAACCTCCCTTCTCCACCCTCCTTCTCTTACTTTCTCCAGGTACCAATTCAGACCCGAATCATGAATTTCACTCGTGTTTTCGATTGGAAGTCAAATCCATTCACTGGGACCCCTTTATGTCATACTGGGTTGTCTGTGGACATTTTCTTTTGTTCAAATTAAAAGAAAAGAACAACCTTTCGGTACTTTCCAGTCAGATAAATTGTTCCAATTAGGCCATAATGCATGCATTGTCTCCTTCGTAACCTGGTTTTAGTACATGTTATCTTCATCTGGGAAGACTGTGACTAATTGTTATGTTGATTTTGAACATGGATGGTTCTGTTTATTTGCATCCTTGCTGTCAGATTTTATATGTTCACGAGGTTTCATAGGCTAAAAAATGTTAGCTTCACAGCTTCATTCTATGAGACAACACTTTCAGGTGTTTGTTTGTGGGCTTCTAAAACTACTTTTCGTGTGATCGGCTCATATTTATGCGGAATCCGGTGCATGTATATTTTGTTAGATATGGCTTGTGCCTTGGGCTATTTGAAAGGTGATATAGTCTACTTTAATGTTCTTTTGTTTACTTTGTGAATTCAGGAGGAAATTTTCAACCACGGTGAAGGCTTCATCTCGTGTTGACAAGTTTTCAAAAAGCGATATCATTGTTTCTCCATCCATTCTTTCTGCTAACTTTTCAAAATTGGGAGAGCAGGTTCTATAACATGCTTTACTTTCTGTAATCAGCATTTCAGTTTCAAATGCTTTTCTTGGCTTTTGTCCAAAATCCAAATTGTTTACAATGTACAATATTTCATAATCATTTTACCAAGTTTGCTAATTGGTATTAAATCTGTCTTTTTTGTTTTGAAGTCACTATTAACATGTTTTTTAATTGTCAGCAATCATGATTATTTGAGTTTGTGGGTTATCTTGTCTAGGTGAAAGCTGTCGAGTTGGCTGGTTGTGATTGGATTCATGTTGATGTAATGGATGGTCGCTTTGTTCCAAATATTACAATTGGACCTCTTGTGGTTGATGCATTGCGTCCTGTGACTGATCTTCCTTTGGATGTACACCTGGTATTAATCTTTTTACATATACTAAATTAGGTTGATATTGAATCTAAGTACTTCTCTGAGTTTTGTTGAAACACTGCAGATGATTGTAGAGCCTGAACAAAGGGTGCCAGATTTTATCAAGGCAGGAGCTGATATTGTCAGTGTTCACTGTGAACAATCTTCCACCATCCATTTGCATCGTACAGTTAATCAAGTAAGGTTTCCTCTTGAACTGTCCAACTCTTGAACAAAATTGCTGCACCTGAACCTTGACATCAAGGGAACCCCACTTTGATCAAACTGTAAAATAAAAAAAGTTGAAGGGTCCAGGCATATGTTTAACCTAGTGTATAATTATCACATACAATTTGAGAATCTTATTATCAAGGACACAGTAATCATTACATATAGTACTGACGCTGAAATGAAAGTCCAGGATTTTAATAACAGTGAAGGAATGTCTGGGTTACTGACATTATTAAGGATATCTATACTTCATTATGTGTATGGATTGAAGAGCATTAACAAAGCAGTCTGAGGACTGGCTAAAAAAATGACCATTGCAATTTCTTGTGGTATTTAAGGTATCAACTTGCATGACTAAATTGTTATATTCATAATATTGGCATACTTTTTCATGACTCATATGAGCTTTGAAGTGTTTATAACTCTTTGAAGAAACATGAATGCCAAATACTAAAGGCTAAAGCTGAATGTCATATACAGGAATTTCTTAAACCAGGATTGACCTTAGAATGAATTTAGCATTTTCTAAAACTTTTTTTTCTTTTCAAAATGGTGAAATTCTTTTTGCGGTTACATGTCCTCACAAATTTTTCTTGGGACATGTGATGCTAAAATTGTTTTACATCTCTCTTCTTTTTTTTTTATCATTTTCTTGGTTGGTTTGGGTTAGTAATCACCTATTATTTAGGTTATCGTAAAGTGCAGTAGAAGGCATTGGTCTCTTTTTCTAGATGGCTAGAGCTATATGAAGTTGCGTACTTCTTATTACTTATGAGGTATGCTTTACCTCTTCAAGTCATTTAAGTGTCTAGATAAATAAATAGAGTTTAGAAGCCTTATACAGTAATACCATATCAGAAGTTTTCCTTTGTCTGAATCTATGTTTGCACCATTGTATCAAATTTGAGGCCTTACTTTTGAGTATATTCATTTCAGATTTGGTTGCTTTCTTTCAGAATCACAGATGTTATAAGTGAAAATGTTAAAAAGCCATCTAGGAAACTTGACAGTATAGATTATTCCTTGGAAAATATTTTCCCACTCCTGTTTTAATTTTCAGCTTATGTATCTGACTATGTTCTCTTGATTCAGGTGAAAAGTCTGGGAGCTAAGGCTGGTGTTGTCTTAAACCCTGCTACCCCCTTAACTGCAATAGAATATATCCTTGATGGTGAGCCATTTTTGCTCCCCTTTTCTGTTTCCTTTTCTTTTCATTATACAATAAGAACATTAATGATCCTATTTATGACTTTGGTTCCCAGTATGCTTTATATGGCTTTCTAAACCATGGACCAATACTGGCCTACTTTGGAGTTGGTTGTTTAGAATAGAAGTCACCAAAGCTACCAGTTTAATAAGTGTGTTGTTACTTCATTGCATTAATTATTTTTTAATAGAAGAGTATATTTTGAGCTATTGTAGGTACAGAAAAGGAAACTTTGCCTGTGTTTTGACAATGTAAAAGAAGTTATAATTTATAAACAGAAGACAGATTTATCAGCAAGTTTAATAGCAACATGGGACATATTAGTTCTACGATTAAGGTTGTTACACACTTACAGTTTACTTTCAAATCTAGAATTCACACATACTATTTTAGTTTTTGGGTGAATTACACTTGACGCTTTTTTTTTGTAATTTAAAGCATGACTTTTTTTTTCTTATTTTCATGTTTGAATCCACTGAATATTCCATGAAAGGCAACAAAATTTGAAAGATCAAGAATATTTTCTGCTTTGATCTTTAAGTAGTTTGAGCTTTCATTCTGCTAATATTAATATAGTTCTACACAGTTTTCTAATTAGCTTATTGTCAAATTTGGTGTGCATCTGAGCTGGAAATTTTTTACAAGGGAAAGTCGAAGGGATAATTTATTGTTTTAAAACTTTAGTGCTAAAATAAATTAACAAAGTATAGGAGTAAAATTTATTTTTTTTGGTCTTTATTTATTTTAATTATTCATGAGAAATGCATGGGCATTTTTTATCTCATTAAGGGAAGTAAAAGAGAATGAATCAACTTCTTTCACAGCATATTGAGATCTATTGAATTACATGTCTAAAAGTTGTTTTCATAGTTTGAGAATAAAGGTTCTTAATCTTGTTATGGTGTTGGCAGTGGTTGATTTGGTCTTAATTATGTCCGTAAACCCTGGATTTGGTGGCCAGAGTTTTATTGAGAGTCAAGTAAAGAAAATTTCTGATTTGAGAAGATTGTGCGCGGAGAAGGTACCATGATTGCATTTGTATGTGTCTATTATTTTTGTTTTTTCCCCAACCTTTATGTCTTACATGTCTTTATCTGCATTCTCTCTCTCTCTTTCTTCAGGGAGTGAACCCATGGATTGAAGTAGATGGTGGAGTTGGTCCAGCAAATGCTTACAAGGTGCCATATACAATCATATTGTCTTCCATCCAATTATTATTTAGAATGATCTGTAACAAATCTTGTACATGCTCATCTCAGCATATATTCTGATTATACTCGGTGATTGCCTTTTTTGAAAGGATGAACTCAACATAAAAATATTGGGAATATTGGGAAACGACTAATATGGAACGTGTATCTTATCATGCATTTCAACTTTATACTTACCACTGTACTTTGGCTAAGTGCTCCATTTTTTGGATAGAACAAGGAATTACAGATAAATAACGAGGGGGAAGCACATTATTGTTTATTCATTAAATTAGAATATGCTTTTAACATGGTGCAGTAATATGATTGACCCATTTGAGTTGTAAGATCCAATTTTTTATATCTTGTTTGGCAGGTGATTGAGGCCGGAGCCAATGCACTGGTTGCTGGTTCTGCTGTGTTTGGAGCTAAAGATTATGCTGAAGGTACAAAAAACATTTTGTGTGATTTGGCATATATTGTAACGTGCGGAAATTCAATGTGATTTTGATAATTTTCATGGCTTCAACTCCCTTGTAGCTATAAGAGGAATTAAAACCAGCAAAAGACCTGAAGCAGTCGCTGTGTGAAGCCAGCATGATTGTAAGCTCCAATGTAAGCTGTGTTTTTGCCCCAGAGGTTTCTCCATTGAATTTTGACATCAATTTTCTGATTGTGTGGTTGAATATAAACAAAATTGACCGCCAATGTGAGAAATAATCAAGTAAAATAATGGCAGACATTACTTAAGAGGCAGGAGCTAGTTTCAATGTGATGTATAATAATGTTATGCTTGTGAGTCAATTATCACTTGTATCTGACTGATAATTACTCAGTATTATTAGATATTATATCTTCGGTTGTGTGAAAAGTGTTAAGTTGAAAGCACAATGTATTAGGTGTTGTATTGATTGTGAGCATGATCTCAATCTAATTCTCATTGCTGGTTTTGCTCTGTTTGAACCTGGCAGACAGTATTCATGAATTAGCGGCCTATTAGGCACCATTATGTTGCCTGGCTTGCTGTCACCACTGGCTATTGCTTCTCTCTGGAATTAACTATAAGAAATCAGTCCAAGTAAGGCTGCTGCTGTGATGCGTAGTTTGTGTATAATCTTTTGGAGTATCAGAACAAAGGTTAAGTCAAGATAATGCCCTTGACCCTGTATCAGCTTGTAACCTGACAGTTATATCCCCCCATATTGTAAAACAGTTGTGCTTTCTATCAATACAACCAGCTAAATACATTGTATGCTTTTTTTGTCAAAGTTGATACCGATTTATTTCGTTCTTGTCAATACGATATTACGCCAGTCGGGATCCAAAATGTGTCTTTATAGTTTATTCATGTATCGAGGAAAGGACCCCTTGAAAGATGAAAAATGGACAATTCACTTTAAATTCCAATTAGAGTGCGTGTGCGTGAATTTTCACACTTTTACAATAAAGCATTTGATGTGAAAATTCCTCTTTTTTTGCTCCCTTGAAAGATAATATTTGACCAATTCACTTTAAATTAAAATGGTGCCCAATAGAATCTAATGACCAATTTCCTAGCATAGTAGCATTCCTCTGATACATTTACTTTTCATTTTCTCTCCCGAAACATGATTCGTTATTGGGGCTTGGGCATTGGCTTTCATACCAAACAGTGTTGTTTAATTACGTTATAGAATAGTACAAAATGCCAGTGTCAACTGTACAGAACTTGATAGTAATCTTAGTTTGTACATAATGAAACAATTAATACAACATATACATTTGCCCGTAAAGATGATCACAAAATGCCCAGGCAACAAGTTACACATTCTGTCTGCAGACAGGACACGAATCATTCTTGACAAGCCATTTGTCCACACATATCAAGTGAAATGTATGGTGACAGCGAGGTAAGCTTCTTGCAATTTCGCCTACTTCAATGTCCTGTATAATTCACTTCCCAATGTTAAGATCATTTGCATCAACAGTTTCATCAAAATTCAAATGGGGGATACTGAAGACGTGGGAAGTATTATTGCAAGCAAATGCATCTTTGTGGTCATTAAATATCATTAATACCGCTAGCAAGAAAAAGTAAAGGCTTCCTTAGTTAATTCTGCACATAATGTTGATAAGCACCGGGATTCAACACCTAATGGTTTAATATTAGTATTTCCAGAGTCTCCTAAAGTCCTTATCAATATTCTTTGTTCTTTTTAATCATTTTCACGCAGGTAACAAAACAAGTATTATGACATTCACATATCTTAAAAAAGAATAATCACCTGCAAACATATTGCACAGCAAGTATTCTCTGCCTTCATATCCTTTGTGATCATATGGTGCGGTAACTTCTTCAATGAATCTCCTGACAATCCTCTAGGTGCCACTAAGCCATGAATATCATGAATCTCATCATAGCCTGTATTAGCGATGCCAGCCTGCTCAAACTAAAACGAATGATCATACGTCAAAAAACTAGCTATTCTCTTATCCTACACACTGCCAGATAAAGTAGTCCAAGTACAGAATCTACAATTGACTTCTTAACAATAAAAATATGGAAGTAATATACTTTAACATAGTAGAAGACAATCAACATGGATTAATTAGTTGGTCCCTAAACTATTTGAGAATTTTCAAGTTCCTAAACTATTTTTTTTAATTGAGTTCTTGATCATGTAAACTAATTTTAGTTGGGTTCCCTGGATTTTTAAAATCACCATAAATTGTCTTTTTTTAGTGGTTTTAAGCTGCCAAAACTAATCCCAGTGAGCTATTTTTTTAAAAATAATTATTTTAGGAACCCAATTAAAAAAGAAAATAGTTTAAGAACTCACTTGAAAATTCTCAAATAATTTAAGGATCAACAGAGTAATTAAACCTAAATTTTATAAAGCATGCTTGTTAAAAACAAAAATCAAAGTGGTGCGGTATTACCATTTTGATCACTGAAATGTAAATAAATTTTGCATAGATTAACAAAAGTCAACAAGAGTGAAACAGAATAATCTGGGGAGAAAAAGAGGCACGTGACATCATTAACATACAAAAGCAATTGATAGCAGACATAAAAAGTAAAACGTGTTGTTAAAAAATTAAATAACCTGAGCATATGTAGCAGTAGCATCAATAGTAATTTTGGTTTGTTAGGACCATCTATTTGTTATAGTCTTATAGATGAACCTGCGATCAGTTACTTGGCGAATAGTCTCTCTATTAATATATAAGCCACATATAGTTATTAGGTAGACAACTTCTACATTTCAGTAAATTGACTAAATTCACTTTCTTCTCTCAAATTCTATCCTCTCTACCATGTCCTATGTCATGTGAACAACATCATGAACAAATTAAATATCCCAAAAACAATTGTTGACTGGAAAATTCTTAGTCCTACCTAGAGTCCTCTCCTTTCTAACTTGGCTTTAAATTTTCAAATAAATAAAACACATAATCCTTCAAAGGACGATAGGATTAACCATGGTACCATATCCTGATTTGATTAATGTATTGTGGATGATTTCCTTTATGAAAACAAACTCTCAGCTGTCAAATCTTTGTTTTATCCTTATTGTGTGCTATATTTGTTTGGATAATTAATCAAATATGTCTGCAGTTCAGTACACTTTGATTTGCATTCTAAAATATTTTGATGTTTTTTTACAAGGTAAATAGTTTAATTTATATTTTTTTTTAACTTCAATTTCAGATTTCAATAATGATATAGGTTACATGAGCTTCGCAGATGCTGATCAGACTGAGATTTTTTTTTAGGTTAATTGAAAGAAAAAGTGGTTCGTTTCTAATTACATAATAGTGAATTTGCTGATAAAACTAGCCGAGAGGAGGAGAAAAAGAAAGCTGGCATTTTGCAAGCTTTTCAAGTAAGGTTAAGTTAAAATATTGCACCTAATCCACGGAGGCATACAGCTATTGCTTTTAAAAGGAAAAAGTGGTGCAAGAGAGAAAGGAAAATTACCTGCAAATTGTAAGCAGTTAAAATAGCAGGTGTAAGGGACTCCTCAACAAGCCTCCCACGAACAAGTTCCTCTATAAAATCTGCCTGGATTTCAATGTCAAAATATTGGCTTAAAACTATGAATTAAGACTATAAAGGTAAAGCACACTTTTAAATGCTACTTAATGAACAGGCTACCACAAATAAGTGCAAAGCATAAAACCTAAAAGGTAACCATATTGTGCCTCATCATTTTGGAAGTTACAAATCATTTTACACAGAGATACCAACGAAAAACAATAACAAAATGAATACCAACCATAGATGATGCCCCCCGTGAGCCAGTTTGCTCCATGCACCAGTAGGCACGTGAAGCTTCCAAAACCTCCACCGAGAGTATGGAGCCAGCAATGGCACCCAATGAAACTCCCCGGAGAAGACCACTCTTAGTAGCCTTAGCTGCTAAAGCACCAGCTATAGCTCCTGTGAGGGCCCCAGCTGCAATCAAACATAAATTTGATTTATGCATAAACTCAAGCACCCTTAAGGCCAAGTAAACATTTAACATTCTACACCCTTAAAATTCTCTACCTTTGTACAGTATCTACACCAACTACCAACAATTCCGGTCACAAAAAATATCCAACAAAAAAAGAGCATAAATGTGATTTATAGCACGCAATTTATTCCTCCAACAAAAGGGAAAGGAAAAAGGCAGATTCTTTCCCAATTCTATTTCTACTTTCCATTCTACCCAACAGCAAGCCTCGCTAATTACACCATAATCAACGGCAAATCTAACAAAAGGCTCCAACTTTAGGGCAAAGAAACCGTTTTATGAACGCCCCACTTATCAAAACAAAGAATTAACAACATTGGACAGAAAACAATGGAAATAAAATAAGAAGGAAATAATTACCAATGGCAAAACACACGGTGAGGGCCCCAGAAATGGTGCATAATATGAATTTAGACAGGGAACGAAATCCCAAAGGTCCCTGGATTATTCCAGTTTCCATATGGAATCTGGGTTTGTCAAAGAGGTGCAATCTGCAAGGCCATGGCTGGTGCTGTTCTTGTTGTTTATTGGTGATTATGATGGGATTAGAAAGGATAAGAGAGACCCCAGATTTTTAGATAAAGGAAAATGGATTGAAAGGTAAGGTAAGGTCATGCAGAGATCAAAAGAAAGATGATGGATGGTATATACGATAAGTCAAAGGAAAACAACACCAAGAAAAGAAATGCCCATACTACTTGTTTATATTATTTTTTTTAGCACTTCTACTTAATTATACGGTGTACTATAATAATATAAATATGATATATATAGAGAGAGAGAATGCCTAAATTTAATCCTTAAAAGAATAATTTTTTTTTCGAACTCTACTTATTTTTTTAGTCAAATTGGATTAATTTAAAATAAATTCTTAAGAAATTATTACAAAATTAAAAGAATATATAAAATTATGATGGAGTAGGTTAAGAAAAACAAAATCTATGATAAGAAATATTCATTATTTAGTATATATTTATAGACTCCAATAAAGATTAGTCACTATTTTTAAAAAATAGATATTATCTCTGAATTTATACATAAATAAAAAATGGTTAAAACTTTTTGAACAAAAAATATAAATAAATTTTAATTAAGTTAACATCATTTAACAAGAACACTATCTATTATAAATATAGTTAAGAATTTAAAAAAATATAATGTATATTTTATGTGAAATTATAAAAATAAAATACATTTAATAGGCTTTTTAAATTTATGTAAGATTAATTATTTTTTTGCTTACATAATACTTCGTACCTAACTATCTATATTTAGATTAAAATTAAAATTATGGAATAAGTTGAGAAAAAGAAAGTGATGTCATTTGCATGGGAGTGACATGGTGGTTGGTACCAACCAAAGCATGTATTTATTTTGTAATTAATGTTAATGCCCTCATGTTATAATTTTATTATTACACGCACGAAGGCCTATCACAAAAGGTTGTACTAATCTAATGATTATAGGCCCATAACCTATAATCCCATGTTCTCATCCAATGCCAAAAAAAGGATTATCATTTTCAGCATCTCCAGCCACAAAATCTGTACCCTCACCATTAACTCACCAACAACCAGGAGGAGCTTCTGATTTTTTGGTTCATGTAAAATGCCGATTTTTTTTTTAAATCAATTCAAAAAATACTTAAATTTATGTATATTGCATTAAAGAAATTAGTTAGATTTATTTAATTTTATTAATTTATTATATAAAAAAATTAACTTTCACTTTTTAAACTATCTTTAATAATATTTATTGAAAATAATAATCAAGAGTATTTTTTAAAATAATAACATTAAATAAGGTCAAGTTAATTAAAACTTATTTATGTTTAAGTTTAAAAAATTTAATTACTATTTTTTGTTTATATATAAATTTAAAAAATATTAATTGATGTGTGTAAGTAAAAAAAAAAAACAGTAACTTTTGTTAACTATAAGAAACACTCGTTTTCAAGTATATTAATTGTTAGAGTAATGTTATACCACCTTCCTTTAAGAAAAAATGTTACTGTCCTCTGAAAATCCTCTAACTACTTTATAAAAATATTAAATAATAAATAAATAAATTCTATTATGAGGAGATATTTTACTTATTAGTTTTTACTTATTCAATATTCAATAAATATCAAAGAAAATATATTTAATCGCATATTATTTTTCCTTAATTACTTATTCAATTGAATATAATTTATTTTCTTTAAATAACGACAAAGTCTTATCCCACTTATTGAGGTCAATTTTATGAATCTCATGGCATCATTCAACTTGATAAAAAAATAATAATAATAATGATTTACCAAGGTATTTTTCTTTATATCTTATCCCAAAGTTTTTTTTCTTTAATAATCTCTCACTCTTACTTTTCATCATACTAAAAATAATATAGTTTTTTTTTATTGATATATCTTATGACCTTCTTTGTACATGATCAACCAACTTTAACTAAATCATATTTTTTTTCAATTAATGTTACACTAATATATATATATATATATATACATGTATA